TGAGGTCTCGCCAAGTTGCCCAGGCGGGTCTCGAACCCGCAGGTTCAGGCAGTCCACTCACCTCAGCCTCCCAAAGGCGTGGGATTACAGGCTGAGCCACCGAGCCCGGCTGGGTGTGGGATTTTATTCTGAGGGCAGTGGGCAGCCACTGAAGGATGTTAAGTGGGGGTTACAGGAAGCAGTTCATAATTTAGAAAGATCTGTTTGACTGTCCCGAGGAGAGAGATCTGGAGAGAGGCAAGAGGGAATCCGGAAGATGTGTTAGGAGGTGTCTAGAATCTATCATAAGATGATGATTCCAAGTAATGGCAGCGAAGGTAAAGAACAGAAGAGATGTGTCTGGAGATGAATTTTGATGGTAGCACTGACAGGATTTAGTGTTAGCATTTGGCAATTGCTAGGACTTAGTGATGGGTTGGATCGGAGAGTGAGGTGCGGGGAATGGGGCTGTCAGGGATGAGTTTTGGAATGCTTTGTTGAGTGGCTGGGTGGATTGCACAGATGGTGGAGTCGCTTTCTTTCTGGAGCTGGAGAAAGACAAGAGTCCATTGCTGGACATGTTTACTGTGAGATTCCCAAGTGGAGAAACTGAATAGACAAGACCTGTTGTTCACAAGAGATGGCCACTTGGGATGGGGATACGCATGTAAGAGCAGTTGGTTCATGGATAGGAGTAGTTGGATCACTGACAGCCCTAGGGGTGGATGGGATTGCCTCTGGAGGAAATATTGAGAGGAGCCGAGCATCTGGGGCTGAGCGCTGGCGAATTCCAGCATTTCAGCATCAGGTAATGGGGAAGGAAGCAAAGCACTTTGAGCGGGATGCATTCTAGAGGGGGGAGACCTGGGAGATAGGGTGTCAAGGGAGAGAGTCTCGAGCAGTGAGGGGTCTGCTGCACGGAGTGTGCTGAAAAGCCTGGAAAGTGGTGCCTTGAAAGTGCCCGTGAGACTTGGCCCTGGAAGACCATGGAAAACGCAGATTCAGGGCAGTGGTGAAGATGGGAGCCCGATTGGACTGAGTGGGAGAAAGAAGCGGCCGTGAGGGGAGATGGGAATGTGTGCACACTCTGCGGAATCTTGACTCTGAAGGTAGAAGTCAGTCACTGGAGGGGAATGGAGAGTCCAGGGAGGGTTTTGTTTCCCTTTGACAGGGGAGATTCTAGAGTTTGAGTGCTGGTGGGAGCGATTTAGTACAGAGGGAGAGATTCATCACTTGAGAGAGACAGCTGATGGACGGAGAGCCCAAGTGTTGGGACAAGTGTTGGATGGAAAAAGGAGAGGAGGAGGTGCCAGAGGGCGCCTGACAATTGCTGTCATTGAGTTTGTTCTAGACACCATGCTAAGTGGTTTGCGCAATGGCTGATTTATTGTTCACAACAGGCCTGTGAAGTGGATGTGATTATCCTCATCTTACAGATGAGGAAATGGGTGTTCAGTGAAGACACATCCAAGGTCTTCATTCAGAGTTGTTTTATTTCAGAGTTCTAAGCTCACCTCTGTACTTTCCTCTATGATGGTGTATTAGTTTGCTCAGGCTGCCATAGAAGTGTCACAGACTAGATGATTTAAACAACAGAAATTTATTTTCTCACATTTCTGGAGGCCTGAAGTCCAAGATCAAGGTGTTGGCAGATTTGAGTTCTCCTGAGGCCTCTCTCCTTGCCTTGCAGATGGTGTCTTCTCTGTGTCCTCATATAGTCTTTTCCCTGTATTCCCACATTCCTGCTACCTCTTATGTGTCCTAATCTCTTCTTAAAAGGACAGCAGTCAGATTGGGTTAGGACACACCCCCAAAATGGGCTTATTTTAGCTTAATCACACTTTTAAAGGCCTTATCTCCAGGTGCAGTCACATTTTGAGGTTAATGTTTTTTATATGCATTTTGAGGGGCACACGTAACATACCATACCATACCATACCATTCCATCCCAGATGGCTTCTTCAAATATAAGGAGAAGGGTGGGAATGGGTGGGGGAAGCAGTTTCGAAGAGCATGTAACTATAATTGAAGAGAGTAGAAGGAGCTTACTAGGGCAGTGTGGCTTAGAGTCCGTTGAGCTTGGAAGTCATTCACTTATTCCATTGAGCTTGGAGGTCATTCATTTATTCCATCCTGTCCAATCTGAGTCTCTGCAGCAGCAGTAGTCAGATATATGCATGAAGTAAAGAACAGGAACTCTGTTCACTAATGAGGCTGCCAGTGCTCACGTGGATTTATTAACCAGTCAAATGACCGTCTCTTAAGTACACAGCTGAAAGGTAAATGAATTGCATTCATGTGCTCAGCACAGTCGCAAATTACTGTTTATCCGGAAGCTTTCTTGGCAAGTCTCAAATGGTTGAAAACGTGAGTCAGATCTACGACTGCCAAGATTTTGTTGCATTTACCAGTGCACAGATTGGCTTGACCATTTTTACCAGTCTGCTATATATATTGTTTCTCATGCTTGCTTGCCGCTTTCTTCTTTCTCTCCTCGGCCTTTCCTTCTTCCTTTCTTGCCATTTTCATTCATCAGTAATGTGTCGAGTACCTACTGTGTGTCTGACACACAGTAGGATAAAGAGTCTACAGTCTATTGTACACACACACATACATACACACAGACCTATATGTGTGTGTAGTGTACGTGTGTACAGATACAGATATGCACACTGCGTATATTTTCTAAAAACTCAAGTGATAAGCGCTGTCATTAAAGCATTAATTCATTTGTTCATTTAATACCTCGTATATACTGAGTTTAGGCTTGGGATAGAGACACGAGTAAGATATAGTTTCTGTCTTCAAGAAATTTACAACCTGGTGTAGAAAAACAAATAGGCAAGTACAAACACAATGCAATGTGACTTTTGTAAAATTGTAAAAGATCTCAAAGACGGAAATGATTCTGGTCTCACTGCTTATATCTGGATACCCTTTGAAAGGAGCTATTGCTACGTTTGAACAACAGGATCTATGAAAAGAACACCCATTCATTTCGCAAACATTTTTGAATGCATGTGGTCCTTGTGCAGTGGACGGTTTTATAGCTCTTGAATTATGAGAAGCCTGTGGAGTTGGGGGATTTATGACTTTTTTCCTTATTTGAGTTTATTTTCCACACCCTGCACTATCATCAACTTTTTTTTAGATGGTGGAATGATTAACGATATTCCTAAAATGCTCCACAGAAACCTGCTGGATATTAAACCCTGAGAAAAGTCGCAGGAAGAAAGCATTATTGTGGTGGTGGGTGAGCAGAAAGCATATTCTGACCTAGCATGTATCTCAGATACTTGGAACTTGAAACTAGGTATTAATGTGGGGATTTCTTGTTATGTGATTTGAGAAGTATGGTGAATAGCAGAACAAAAACCCTGAGAAGGAAATGGATTTTTGCAGGTTATGTAATTGAAATGTTCTCTCATATCACCTATTTATACCTTATCGCTTCTGCGATAATTTACAACCAGACACTTATGGATTAATTGAGATAAATGTTGTGACTTGTTGCTTTCTTTGAAACTGAGGTACTACACACACACAAGGTATTGTTATTTGTGATCTAGGCTTCTTTGGGAAAATGCTAATCATATTATGGAAACAGTTCAGGCAGTAGAAGGAAGAAAAGACAGATTGGGTAAATGGTATATGTAGGATTTAGAATCAATGATTAACCTAATAACTGCTGAAAATTCCTTTCATGTCAGTCAGTGAGCGTTTGCTGTCTGCATGTTGACTTCATTTCAGAATCGTATTCCAGCCTATGATACAGTAGAAAGAGCTCTGGCCTGGGAGTCAGGACATCTGTTGGTTGGGCTCTGCCACTGACGGTCCGTATGCCTCCTTTTCCCCACCTTCAAACTGGAGTGGCTGTGGGAAAAGGTTTCCAAGGTCCTTCCAGTTCTGATATTTTATCGTTTTGTGATTTTACGTACCACGTTTACCAAAAGCATTTTGACTTTCTTTAAGTTGCTTAAGCTAGCATTTCAGTTAGAATGCATCCAGGAGCGTAATCCCATGGGCTGCTGGGGACAGCAAGGCCTTGCCTCTCCAGGACTTGGTGTGTCTTCTGTTAACTGCTGGCAGTGAGCCACCACCTAAGGCTCCCTTGGTGGCCTTAGAGATTGAAAGAACAAATGGACAGTGTTGAGAACTCTGTGGAAGAGGAGACCAGAGAGACGGTGATCACCATGGCTCCTTGGGATTTGCAAAGAGAAATGACTAGGACGGGGCCCTTCACTTCAGCCAGGTCAAAGGTCAGGTCAGGAATGTGGACAATGCTGGTGACACCAGGTAGGTCTAGGAGGGTAAATAAACCTATTTAGTCCCTCCTGAATCTTGAGAAGATCTGGGCAGCCAAGCTCAGAAAGCTGTTTAGGAGGTCTCCTAATTTATGGAATTCTTTGGGAGAAAAATGTGATATTTATTTTTTATGTTTTTATTACCACATAGTCATTATATTCTTAATACTTACCATGTTACTCTACTCTTAACATATTCTCACAGCTGATTAATCAATGAAACATGCTTTCATGATCACTTATTGAATTAAAAATCTCATTTCAATTGATGCCATTGTGCAGTGGACTCCTTATATTTTAGGAATTTTATAGTTTTGTTGAGAGAACTTTCAGTTTCCTCCTTAGTTAACCAATATTAAATGTAATCATCTGACAGCAGAGATTTATGTCTGTTATTACTTTGCTAATAATAAGCTAACTTGGCGGTGATTAGAAAATGATTTGGAGTACTTTTCTTAGTGATAGAAAGAAAAAAGGCAGTGGATAATTTGTGAAGAAGATATTAAACCAGATAACCAAAATAATTTTGTGGACTGAATACAATTTTAGGAAATTAAAATTTTATTGTAACTGTTTCTATAATGGAATTCCATTAAAAATTTATATATATTCCTTAAAATATTGATTAAATTCCTGTATGTAATCATTAAAAAAAAAAGAACCGTATGCCTCAACCTAATACATATTACAAGATGATTCTTCTCTCTCTCTCTCTTTTTTTTTTTTTTTTTTGCTTTTATCTAGTTGCTTCCAAGATCCGGTACTTGCAGGAATATCATAACCGGGTTCTTCACAACATTTATCCTGTACCGTCAGGAACAGATATTGCAAACACCTTGAAATACTTTTCTCAGACCTTGTTAAGGTAAGCTTTAAAATATCCTATACTTTGAGAGAATTATTAGGTAGTACTGCTGAATTGATTGGGACCTACATTTTTATTGAATTGAAAGTCTCAAAGGGCATTACATTTTCTAGTGCTCTGCCAGAAGAGTCTGGACTCAAGTTCTCTGGGTGTATATAGCAAATCGGATCCCAGGCCTAGCTGAAAAAAAGTGGATTGCATAGCTACTGCCTACTTTCCTCAGCTGAGCGTCTTTTTGAGAGATCTATATAATGACAAAGTTATATGTTTAGCACTAATATAGAGTGAGATTAGAGGGAGAGCTTACACTGCTTAAAATTAAGATCAGGAAATATTTTTCAGTCTAAAAGAAAATCAGAATTATGTGACATTTTTTAGGTTCATCATCAATATTTTCTATTTCCCTAAGTGCAATATATGGTAATAACAGTCCTTTTTAATCTGCATAACACTGCAAGTGCTCAGCATGCTTTGCAATTGATATGGAAATTCTGTGGAGGACAAGGAAGCAAAAACATAGGAGCTCTTTTTCTGCTGTCTTCTTTTACTGGAAGACAGAGACCTCTACATATTCTTAGGAAAACCGAGCAGATAAGATCAGCCTTTCAAGTCAAGACTCCATTTTTTTGGAAAATCACATTAAAGAAGTCAGAGGAACCTCTCAATTTCCATTAAGTCCCAAGGCTAGGGCTCTTCCATTACCAGGATCTTCTCACTTCAAATCTGATTTTAGAAACACTTGAATTGACTTGCTACTGTTTCTTCTAACCATATAGGAGCAAAGGTTTTGTAAGACAAGTATTAGGAGAAGAACACAAATTTGGAATGACTAGTGACTCTGGAGTTTCCAACAGTCTAAGGCTTTGCCATAGACAGGCTGAACTCTTTGTAGATGGAAGGTTCCTGGGGTCAAGTCAGCTAATCTCTTGCAGTCCTCCTATCTCTTTGTTCTTATTTTTGAAGTATCTTTTCTTCTTTCCAATCCTTAGTGGCTGTGTTTTATATTGAGGGGATTCTGTTTATCAGACTCATAGATTTCATATTTCCATAGTAAGGTTAAGACCTGCTATGGATATTTCTTTCCTCCCTTCCTTCCTTCCTTCCTTCCTCCCTCCCTTCCGATTGGGTCTTGCTTTGTTGCCCAGACTGGATCATAACTCACTGCAGCCTCGAACTCCTGGCCTCAAGCAATCCTCCTGCTTTGGCCTCCCAAGGTACTGGAATTACAGGCATGAGCCACCATACCTAACCATTTCCTTCTTTTCAAGTTGCAGTGAAATGATTGGCCCAATTTTTATAGCAATAATCAGATGCATTTATGAGCCAAGACATCTGGTTCTGTTCTCTAAAATTCTCTTTTGTCTTTGAAGTCTAGGTTCTTAATGGAAAACACTTTCCTTCATCGCAAATTCTGAAAGTTCTCAAAGTGAGAGACACTTTTCAGTAGGAAAACACTCTGAATTACATTTGCAAAGATTCTAGAACATCTTAGTTGGTCCTTTAGAACATGCTCGTTAGGTCTTAGTAATTGTACCAAAAAACTAAGAAATTTAGAATGTTGAAGTCATGTTTATGATGTGAAGATTTTATTTTCTTGAGCCATGGATCATAAGAATATAGTCCTAACTGATAGCATTTTATAGTGGTGACACTGGTGTTAAGATAGTTTGTTCAAGTGGACTGCTGGAGAAGATTCTATGCAACTGAGCAGTTTATTTTCAGAGAGGCAACAACAACAACTACTAATGGTAATGGTAACAATAGCTAGTAGTATAATAGCAAAATTGTATTATAATAATAGTAATTATATGTGTCAAGCACTGTTCTAAGCACTTTAAATGTGCCATCTCATTTAATCTCTCATTATAGTTCTCTAAGTATATTGTTACACCCATGTCATTGAAACTAAGGCACAGAGTGGCTAAATAAATTGGTCAAATTTACTTCTGTTTCAGAATTTAACCCTGGTGGTCCTAATCCACAGCACATACTTGACAATTATGCTGGACTGCTTCTTCTTAGTATTATGGTTTATCATACTACAGGGACACTTCTTTTAGTAAAAACTTGGCTTGACCTTTGGGAATGTCGCATCCAAGATGAGTCCATAGCGTCGTTTTGGCTCTCCTTGGGCTTAAGGGAAGAAAGGGCGTGCTTAGCACAAAGACTTGTCATCTTTTCAGAAGTTAAATTAAGTTGTACTGAGATGATGTTGACAGCGTTCTATTCCCAGATGTTTTAGTTCTGCCTTCCCCCTCAGCAATTAGTTGTCAATAGCGGGTCAGAGCAGAGTTGACAGACTGTAGTGAATGGGACATGCACGGAATGGGAGTAAGACAAAAGACCCAGAATGGAACATGTTGTGGGTTGGACTTGAATTCTCACAGTTTCAACACTGAGCTCAACCCAATTCCTTTGTTTCTTATTTTTGTCCACCCAGCATCTTTTTTCCTTAAGTGCAGAGCTGTTGATATATACATCCTTAACAATTGTATCTGTACTTCTTCATTTTATTTGTACTATGAAAAAGTTCATGACAGCCAGGCACAGTGGCAGGCCTCTGTAATCCCAGCTGCTTGAGAGGCTGAGACAAGAGGATTGCTTGAGGCCAGGAGGTTGAGACCAGCCTGGGCAACAAGAGAGACCCCCATCTCTAAAAAATTAAAAAATAAACTAGCAGGGCATGGTGGCATGCACCTTCAGACCCAGCTACTCAGAAGGCCAAGGAGAAAGGATAGTTTGAGCCCCGGAGTTCAAGGCTGCAGTGAGCTATGATTGTGACACTGCTCCAGCATGGGTGACAAAGTGAGACCCTGGATCAAAAAAATAATAGTAATAATCAAATCAAGACAAATAATATGGTCTAGATATTTGGTGTCCAAGATTATTGACAGCAAGATCTTTTTTGCTACAAAAAAACTTTTATAATAAAATTATGTATTAATATTTTTGTTGAAGCATTTAATATAACTTTTACATTCAGAAACACTTTTTGCTTTCAGAACTCAGGTTCTTGAAAATGAACAAGAAGAAAGAACTAGAGATGAATTCTCACGAAGTAACTCCTTGCCTCTTTATTTGGCTCTTCTCAATGAAGTTAGAATTATTATTTTTTGGCTAAAATATACAACTTGAAATTTCAGCCACTTCATCAGAGTTAGGATTGCATTTTTAGAGCAGCAGTCCTCTGATGTGCGTGCATGTGGCTCTCACTGATACCTGTTGTCCCTATTTTGAAAGGCAGAGCTTAGCCTCGACGTTTAACTTTAATTTATTTAATCCACAGGAGTGGAGAGGTTATATGTTATCCTAGTTGACTATAAAATCGACTGAAGACTCCATATATTTGTCCACTTTGCTCACAATTAGACTCACGTTAGTGTTTCTGGAGGCTCCTTAAATTCTAGTAGTGGACAGCGAGTCCTGCTTGTTAGCCCTTGTGCCTAAAGCAGTATTTGACCCATGAAAGGAATCAGTATATGTTCGTTGACTGAGTTGACTTCAGTGCAGATTTCATCCAGCATGACCTTCCTAGGCATTTACTTAATCTGGTAGTGACCTGACGTCTTGGGTAAAATGAGAGCTGAATAGTGCTCACCTTAATTTAACAGGTACCTAAGTTTGGCTGTGAACACGCAGTTTATACACAACTTCAGAGTTTGGTTTTTTGTTTGCTTTTAGCATTAGGCTATCATCTGGTCTGATCACCCCTGTTGCTACAGGGGAGTCTATTTGTTTTACATTTAAAATACTCTGTGGCTGTATTTTAAACATCTAAGATCTTTTACCTGGCAGAACATTTATAGAGCTCTAGTCTCTTTCCTATGTCAAACATTCTTCTGGAGTTTCTTCCCCCTATCTCTCTTCTGGTGCTGTTGAGGCTACTAGCAAGTAAAATCTTTTTAAAAATCATCATATTTGGGGAAAACTGCTTGTGCTCTTTAGAAAACATTTAATATGTTTTTAAAAAGGATTCTAATCTCAGCCCAATAATTTTAATTTAATTGTGATTTCCAATTGCTAAGGAACTAGTTTTTATGTATATACAAACTCACATATATATACACTCACACACACACACACATATATGTATGTCCTCAAATTATTGGTTTGAAATTCTTTTAGATTTAGAGTGTATCTAAATCAAGTAAATTTTGTTTAGTGTATAGGTTCAACTCAAATGCAAAATTCATAATCTTAGAGGAAGTTGACTTGACATGTTAATTTTCTGTGCTATAAATACCTTGGGCGACTTCTCATCTTTCCCTAAACCAGCAGAGGTCTTCCTCTCTTGCCTAATCTTGTTGATGGAGGACAATGCTTGATAAAAAGGATCAAACAGGAAAAAGGAATGGTGAGAAGTTAGCTGCTGGGTCGAACTCTTCTGAGCAGGGCATTTTTAATATTCTTTTTGGTTGGGTCTACCTGGTCCTGGGAGAGAATTTCAGATGGGGAAAATGGTTTTGTCATTCCCAAGTTAGACAGTTTGGTTGGGGAAATAAGTTTCTTTTTCTGAATAAACTTCACAAAACATCATAAAATCACAATGCATTGCACATTTATTCATGAACCCTTCTTAAGTTTTTCCACAAATGAAAACATTTCTTTACATTGAGACATGAATGGCAATTTAAAACTGGTTTCATGGATAACTCATTTTCAGCCATTTTTTTCTCAACCTCACCTAATTATCAAATCTAAAGGCAGTAAGAGACATTTTACTGTTTTTTTGCTGACATTCTTCCCTCCCTGCATGTATGAAGCTGTTGTTGCTATCATTTGGGAACCCCACATGTACAGGAAGGGAAAAATATCAAAATTGAGTCTCCGAAGTTGATTCGACTAGTATTTGTTAAATTATATCAAACTTTGGAAAAATACTAATGAATATTTGAAAAAGTAATGCACTATATTTCCCCCACCAAGAAATTTGATCAGAGGATTGCACGCAATTGTATTAATTTGATATTCAGCTATTTTTTATTCTCTAAGGCAAAATGTCACTTTTTATGCCACTTCTATAAGATCCACATCTTGTAATTTTGAAAAGATGCTGGTAGCAGGCTAATTTAGGGCTGACTTTTGGGAAATCATATACTTGACTTGTATCCATTGTGATTCTCGAGGAATTTCCAGTGGGATTGGAATTCTATAGGATTAAAGAAGATTTTTGGTGACTGGACTTATCGAGAATATAACATTTTAAAGTGGTACTCAGGAGTAATTGAGTTACATGAGAGAAATATAAAATCTGATGGCATTTATAAAAAAGGTAGTTAGATAGGGGTAACTGGAATATGGATATGATCCCATTGTAAAGTATAAGCTTACAAAGTCAAATACACCACACACAAAAAAGGTAAATTAAATCCCTTTAAAGCAAAAAAACCCAAACAAACCAAAAAGCCAAATCTTAAGTTGTTTATTGCTAAGAAGTATAACATTATAATTCTGAAATTATTTTTATTATTATCAATTGTTTTTCCATGGACTTTGGGTAACAGAAGACAAAGGAAATTGAGGTAAATTAGGCACATGGAAAATAAAAAGCATGTAGTCATTTTTCTTACATTATAACATATTTTGCTCTAAGAGTAAATAAAAATAAATGCAAACTTGACATAGGAAGCATGCTTACACTAACCAACTCTTCACATCACTGTAAAATTGTAGGTGTAATATTATTAACCAAGAACTTAGTATGTTTGATGCACTTAGAATAAGTGTAAAATAAGGTTATTTTTATGTAATGAAACATTTATAAACTGTCATCTATTTGGACTAGCATATAAGTATACTATATAAAAGCACTTGGCAAGTGCAGCAGATATTGTCATTTTGATGTGTAGCTATCGTCTTTAATGATAAATAGTATAACCTAATTTTAAAAACCTAAACATTTGGCCAAGTTGTAATTTCTTCTATTTTTAAATCAACAACTTTTATGCCTTACTGGTTTTATTAAAAGGTTTTTATTTTAAAATTAAGACTAAAAGAAAACTAATTTATTTTTAGAATTTATTTTTATTCCCATTAAACTTTTTTTAACTTTCTAAATTATCTTTCCTTTAGTTTTTAGTGAGTTTTGTTGAATAATAACGTAAGTAGCAGCAGTAATATATGAGAGCTCACTGTATGATGTACAGCTATATAACAGATACCGCTTGCTTAGTCTTTAGAATTTTGAAGGTAACTATTTAATAAACCACTGTTTGTATTCATAAAATAAAATGTTTCCTCCCCAACATGCAAAATTAAAAAACACACATAAATAACCATTATCATTAGTTCACAAACATATGCTATGGACCATCTACTATATATTATTTTATAGCTTTTCCAATGTAGTTTAGCTAACATTTTAGAAATATGTATTATTTCTAAATTCATATGCCTGTTTAAACTTCATTATCTCAAATGATACTGACAGAATGTCATGAAACAGTATCATAATATACATATAGACATTATTTTGATGCAATAAACATGTGATTTTTAAGACTTTCTTAATAAACACACATGTTTATTCTTTGCTGAAACATGTTTCTGCAAGTGCCATACCTATATTTTGCAAGTTTCTATTTACCTGATGAAGACAGTCCTGCCGAAAAACATCTTTTCCTTTGAAAGCTCCTTGTAATTAAGAATAAGAGCCCTTACTCTTTAGACAAAACCATTGTTTTTCCTTCCAGGAAACCTCTCCTTCACCAAATTACTAAACTGTAAAACATGGGTTTGGCACTGAAACATGCATTTTTATATTTTTGCTCCTTACTAACCAGATAACACATGAGATGCAATGAAACTTCCACAAGTAAACCTTGTGTTATTGGTATCTCTGAGCATGAAGCTATGTGACCAGTCCTAGATTGGTAGACCCTGCTGACGTGGCAATTGCATCTTATGTGGGACGTATCTGGTGTTTTATTATTTGTTTTAGAGTGTCATTTCAATGTAATGTGCTGTTCTTTGTGTCTTTGTTGTCTCTTTTTTTTCTTTGTCCCCCCAACAGCATTTTGTCCCGCACAGGGAAGAAGGAAAACCAAGATGCCTCCAATTTGACAGTGCCCATGACCATGTGTCTTTTTCCTGTGCCATTCCCACTCACCCCATCTCTAAGACCGCAGGTCAGTTCCATCAACCCTACTGTTACTCGCTCCCTCCTTTACAGCGTCCTGCGAGATGCTCCCTCAGAACGCGGCCCGCAAAGTCGTGATGCTCAGTTGTCAGACTACCCCTCTTTGGACTACCAAGGCCTCTACGTGACTTTGGTGACTCTCCTGGATCTAGTTCCTTTGCTACAGCACGGCCAACATGGTGAGCACTTAGTCAAAATCTTTGGAAATGTGCATGGATGTCTATGAGTATTTAGGATGCTGAGCAAGGGGCATGGAGATTATTGCTGTTGCCATATTGAGAGGACTTTGTGTGGCAAAGGCCTTTCTTGCCATGAAACTTAGGAGTGGTGTTTCCCATGCACTGTTTTATTGCCTGAGGGATTTATCCAAGCGGGTCTGTCCTGGGCGAGAATGGTCTGGAGAAAGGAGGAAGAACATAACAAGAAATTCTCTTTTCTCCCCAATCAGCTTATCGAGGGGACTCTTGTTGAAATTATAATTGAGCAGCTTAGATTTTAAAACTTGCCTCCAGAAAATGTAAGAAGTGGAGCTTGAAGAGCAGGCTCTAATCCGGTGACTGATTCTGTGATTTTGGGGGGCAAATGGTAGAAACTCCCTGGGACTCATTTTTTATGTCTTTAAAGTCAGGAGGTGAGATGAAAAGTCAACTCTAAGAACTCCTTCAAATTTACTAACAATCAGTAGTTATTACAAAGTGTACCAAGATGTTGGTATGGTATGTAGTGGCACTGTATGCCGGGCACAGAGCAGGTTGTGGCATGTACAGTCTATGTAGTCCATGCATAGCATATGCTATTTGTGGTGCTTTAAAACAGAAGCCTGAAAGCTTGCTTTTTTTCCTTAATCTTCACCTTTTCTGCTGTGTGTCTTAAACCAATCACATTATTTTCCTTTCTTACCAAAGTCTTCTAACTCATAAGAAGGATTAAATAACACTGTTTAGTACATATTTGGGACAATCAAATGGAAAACCATTGTGTAAGAAAAGAAATTTTTGTAGAAAATGCATTTTAAAACTTTTGTTGTCTTATCTTTAAAGCACTGAGAATTTGGTCTCTGAGGTATGATAACCAAGGTTTCACTTTACAGAAAAATTGGAGTTTTAGAAAATGAGTGGATGGTGGATGTTATTTTGTCTTTTAGTTATGACTAATTGTCCTAAGAGAATGCTTAATGGTTTATTTAGTACAATGTGTTCCTAATTGTTTAAAAGTTTTTAAAAATTTACTTAGATAAAGGTAATGAAATAATGACTTTTGAATTTGTTTTTCTTATATTTACAATTCTATGTTATAGTAAATATAAAAAGTATCAAAATTTGTAAAGTTGCTTATCATATAACTCTGTAGCTATCTTAAGCCTAGCTATTTTAATGTGATTCTCTGCCAGCTCGGAATTCAAATGAGAGGATTCTGAACATAAGACGATGGTGGTGAGCTTATCACTGCCTTTCTTTTATGACTACTAGTTCTGAACTCACCTGGGACCTGCCTGGTCCTGGGTTGGCCCACTGTGGTTAGGGCAGTTGCCCTTTGTCTTCAAAGCCCCTTGGTTAAAATAAAGACATTCAGTTTGATAAATTGCACCCCATATAACCACAATTCACGTGTACTTTGTGACAATTTCAGGGGAGATGATTTATATTTTTGCTCTTATACCTACAGCTATTTTGTGAGTTTACTCTTGTTATTTAGCTATTGTGTGGTTGTTCTGCATAATAAAGCTTAGAAGGTAGGAAACATCTTACTTGACCATTCTAGTGAATGGTTGAGAAAACACATGGCATTGTTTCTCTAAATGTGGTCTGAAGAACCTCAGAATCACCCAGGGAGTTTGGAACTTGGAATTCCGGGCTCCACCTGGAGCTGATGAAGTCAAATCACTGAGGCAGGGTCCTGAGGATCTGAATTCTTAACAAGCTCCCTGGGGTGCTTCTCTGCCAACCGAATTCGAGAATCCCTGCACTCTGGCAAGGGACTGTCCTCCCGCTGCGTCCGGGTAGAGTCCAGGAAAGAGCACCAGGCAGCATTTTTGTTCCAGTTCAGCTACCAACTCATAGGTGGTCTTGGACAATCACTTCTCCTCTCTGGAGCTCAGTTTCCTTAATATGAAAAATACTCCAGCGCACTCTCAGGCCCTTTCAGTGCCAGTGTCCTGGCGTGAGGCTCAATGGCTCAGTGAAACAGCCTCGGGTAATTCTTAGTAAAACACCTTTGAATTTCCCACTTCATTGATTCTAGACCGAGGTTGACTGACCCCGGTCCCCCAGAGCGCAGTGTGGCCACAGCCTCTCTGTTGTCAGTTGATGTGCCTGTTGAGATGGCATATTGATTCTCATGGCACTCAGAAACAACGTTAGGAATCAAAATAACTCTAAGAAGGTAAATCAGTTGCAAAGCAGACAAGAGTCGAGTACTTTTCTATTATAGTGAGTACAAAAAAAGAAGCTCTTTATTGTCAAGGCTTAGCTGGTGGCCTATATTTTGGAGGTCCAGAAATATCAAAATGCAGACTTAGTGTGATGGGATTTGGTCTGCGTGCATCCTGAATCTAAATAGTTATGAGTTTTTGAATGTCCTCTATTTTTACTCCTTGTGCAGGTAATAATAATAGTAACTATTAATATTAATAATAGCAGCTAATATCTGTGGAGTGCACTTTATGTGCTATGCTAAGCACTTGACATTTATCTCATTTAAACCTCCTAGTAATCCTTCTAATGTCATGAGGTAGGTATTGTTATGATCCCCCTTTAAACATGTTGATAAAATGTTATTATTAGGTGGCACTTCTTTCCATGCAAATTGATGACAAAATGTACAGGGTCATGCAGTGCCAGCTTACAGTTTCCTTTCTTTGGTGCTTGCTGAATCTGCTGCTCTGCTGGAGGTTGCTAGTTACCTGGTTTATTGCCCAAGCAAGACACCAGATGTGGGACCTTTGTGGTTTGGTTGATGGAGCAGAAATAGCCTGGTTTTATTTCTATTCCTGCCCTTGACTTTTCTGAAACTTCCATTGGGCAGATAATCTAACCTCTTGTGCCTCAATTATCTTGTGTAAAATGTAATGGAAGTGAGCATGCTGGAGAAAATTCAGGATTAATTTTCACATGGGCAGTGCTTTGAATTTATGAACTCAAGGAGTAATATGAACACCGAGTATTACTAAAGGTTGATAAAGTGTGGAGAAAAACTCAAATTTGCATTTCTTAATATATTAATCTATCAGTGATTTATTGACCAACTACTGTGTACACAGCATACTATACTAAGCAGTATGTTTAAGAACACTTACTAGGAATGGAGCAATAGTTGCTTATAATTTGAATCAGTTTGTTAAAGCTTAAAAGGTAAAGTCAGCATATTTTATTAATTCCAAAGTATTCAGTGACTGATTACTCAATTTTGTTTTGTAGATCTTGGACAGTCGATATTTTATACAACAACATGTTTGCTCCCCTTTCTCAATGATGATATTCTGAGTACTCTGCCCTACACCATGATATCAACGTTAGCTACCTTTCCTCCATTTCTGCACAAGGATATCATTGAATATCTTAGCACATCTTTTCTACCAATGGCTATACGTAAGTTTACTCTTACCTAATGCTAGATTATGTTTGTGTAGTATATGAATGGAAATTACTTTTGCTGTTATGATCTGGATTTTCAAGATTATAATGGAATCACTTGCTACATACATGTGCTGTGATTTAAATTCAGTCATTTTAGCATGGATGTTATGGTGAAAATAAAAGAAATGAAATACCTTAGAATGTTTTGTTCACCTAGTGTGATCTTACAGACAAGAAAGAGAGGATGCCTCGAGGCACAGCCTACATTTCCTATGTATGAATTACAATAGCATTAGTCCCTTTAGAAAAAAGGAGAGAGTGGTGTCTCAGATGTGGAAATTCTTACCTTTGCACCTGAGGGCAGTGGGGTGTGAAGGAGGGAGCGGTAGATGGAGTCAGGATGTGTGGATTCTGGTCTCAGCTCTGTCTCTGATTGGCTGTGTGATGGTAGGCAACTCAGACACTGGAAACCTCATCTACAAAATGACAGTCCCGTCAGCTTTCATTCGCAAGGTGTTGTAATGATAAAGTGAGTAACAATTTATGAAAACACTTTGGAAAAAAACAAGGGCTGCAGTTCATGTGCAAGATACAGTTAAAACACAGAATTGATTTGAATTCTGTTTCACTTGTAGACTTAATTCTGTAAACTTTCCAGACTTGAGAGGAAAGAAAGAAAAAAGTTGAGTTGTGGTTTTTATGATCAAAATCCTTCTAAAGTATTTTTAAAGAAATGGATTATGCATTAATTTATAGTTTCAGTGGCTAATCTGAAAAGATTGTGGGTTTATGAATCAAGCAGGTATAGATTCAAATCATAGCCCCGCCGCTCACTAGCTATGTGACCTTAGGAAAGTTTCTTCACTTTCTGTTTCTTACCTGTTCAGTGAGAATAACAGTAAGAGCTGCCTCATGGGATTGTTGTGATAGCTGAGATGATTTGCCTGGAACATCAGTCAAGTGCCAGCACAGGTCCTGATACACAATAAGTGTTAGTTTATTTCTCTCCTTCCGTCAAGTCTTGTTCTAGAAAATACATTTATTGATCACATTCAACTCCTAGTGATCATTGTTTGCCAATTAATTTTATGTATTTATGATCTTATTAAAGCTGTTGCTGTGTAATAACAATTGGTAAATATATATGCCTTTTGAGTAACATTTGCTCATTTTGCAGTAAAGTTTAATTGGAATTGGAATTGTCATATCTTTTCAGCAAAACATCTGACGTCTGTTTAAATTATATAGTATTTTGAAAAAAATCAAATGGTATGATCAGGAGACTGATTACACCAGTCAAGTAACAGAATATTTGGTCATTCTCTTTTTTATGTTCCATTATAAACTTACTGATAAATACCTGTTTATGGATATAGTCTTAGAATCACATAGTCATATTGTTTTAATAAGTAATGTTAACTGTTAAACTTAGACATGGGAGTTTTTATTTTGTTGAAGCAGAAGAGACTGTCTCTTTCTAATAACTATTGTAAGTCACTGAATCCCTATGTCTTGTACATAAGTTAATAATTTGAGGGAAGGCGTTGAAAATATCAGGCTTCTGGTTGTGTTTAAGATCAATCAAATATTGTGACAGCTGACAATGTGTTTCTTTACACTTCATTATTAATTTTTACTTAACTAGAAACACAGGCTCCAAAACACACCTTGTAGTCACGCTAGAATCCTCACCTACATAAATGCACAAACATTGGTAACTGAGGAGAAAAAAAATACTAAGTTGAGTTTACAAAATTTATGTGAATTTTGGGGTTTATTACTGTAGTAACTAGATGTTTATTTAAAGGCATGAATAAGTTGCTTCATGTCCCTGGAACTTTGGTTTTTTCAGCTGTGGGAACTGAAAAAAGATGCTCACCCTACAAGGGTATTTCTGGCTTTGTAATTCTAGTTTAAACAATGTAAGTCTTATTTTATGCGGGACGCTCTGTCTTTCTCTAATCAATTGTTGAGCGGGTTCATGTTTGTATTTTGTTGCTCCAGTTTTATTCTCTTAGTTTGGACTTAGTTTCTTAATTGATGTAGGCTATGTTATTTAAAGGTAATAGTAAAGTTGAACAGTGACATCAGTTCAAGATGCTTCTAATGTGTCCTGGCACACTGGACTTTTGTGGTCTCACTTAGTTTCCTTTCCAACTTAAATTTTCTCATAAGTCACTTAGTCTCAGGAAAATTAAAGGTTCATTCAAATCTTTGCATTGACTTAAAAGCAATTGAATGACTGAATTGAATATTTGGTTCTAGACCACTGACTCTGGGTTATTTTTTGTTCTGTTACTACTACAGAGAATGTGTTATATTTTTGTGATCTTCTAAAGAGTAATACCACATAGAAAAAAGATAGTAAAATGCAAAATATTGATGATATTTAAATAAATTTTAATATATGGAACCTGATTTATTGGCTAGTGATTGTTTTTATAAGGTAGGTCTTAGTATAGTTTGAGAACTTTATCGTGGGGAACGTTATGGAATAGGAATCCAGAAGAGCTGGGTTGCAGACCTTCTGTGGTTGGCAGATCTCATAACCTTGTTGAAATTCAGTTTCCTTAGCTGCAAAATGGTGAATAATCATAACTTACCCTTTCTACATTCTATGTTGTAAAGACCATGAGATAACATCTAATAGCCTTCGATTGTTGCATGATGTTATGCAAGTGTACATCAGACCAAATGCATAATCAAATCACAGATCTGTCAAATCCCATTGCAACTAGTCCCAATATTCTGTTGAAAACCACATATGATCCTGAAATTTTATCATCTTAAATATTACTTGAGGTAAGAAGCCATCTTCTGGGGCTTGGGAATTTTCCCTCCTAGAGTTTGCTGTATAATAACAATTAATTATCGTAACAGATTTTGAACTCATAGAACACTTCTGCAGTGGTGACAGGCATCCTGTCTCTGATTTTTCACTAATCTGCCAATCTGTAAATATTTCAATGCTGCAGAGATGTTGTAGCCTTCCCTTTATGTTCAACTGATATGCCTTCTAACAGCCTGGATATCTGATGCTCAAACCCTGTCTCACAGAATGCAGTTGCCTCTGCTCACACAAACAGGAGACCTGAGAAGAGGAGAAATCACTTGTTAACCCAGGCGGTGCAGTTTGGCAAAGACAGATAATGATTCTGTCATATGGGGAAACTGATGCCAGAATGTGTTTCTTCTTTCTAGATGGTTCCATTACCTTCACCCCTTAGACAAATATAATACCAAAGAGGTTTATTTCAATATATTTCAATTCAGACTACTTCTGTTTTTTCCTAAAGATTTTTTAAAAATTATTTTATTTTAAATTTGGGGTAAATGTGCATATTTGTTATTTGAGTATAAAGCATACTAGTAGGGGTTGAGCTTCTAGGGTACTCACTACCCAAATCAGCGTAGTACCCCACAGGTATGTTTTCAGCACTTGTTCCCTCCCAGCCTCTGCTTTTGGAGTCCCCAGTGTCAGATCACTTCTTCCCACCAGCTCTTATCTGGGCTAGTCCGGGGGCTTCCAGACTGGTCTCTCTGCTTCCCCCTCGCCCTCCTGCAGCCTGTTCTCTAACTCAAGCCAGTGCTGCCTTCTGAACCCGTAAGCCTGATTGTGCCACGTCCCTCATCAAAACCCCTAGCTTCCCGTCACTCTTACACATCACATTCAGTGTCCCTCCTTGGCCTGCAAGCTCTCTATGATCGGGCCCCTGCCGACCTTCCTCCTTTCATCATTATATCTCCTGTATACGTTCTGTTCCAGGGACCTCAGCCTTTCTGTAGCTTCATCAAGGCACCAAGCTGTTGCCTTTGCTCCACACTTTGTCCTCTGTCTCAGAAGTCCTCCTCCTACTTGATCACGTGATTTGATTCCTTACTTTCTTTAGGTCTCAGCTCAAGTGCCACATCTTTAAAGATGCTCTTCCCTGTCCTCTGGCTAAAAGAGGACTTTCCATCGCTTTCTATCTATTTTCTTGCACTGCTTTCAATTTCTTCATAAGTATTTGTTTCCTGTAGGACAGCACTGTCTACAGCATTTTCTGAGATGATGGAAATGCTCTATAAAAATATTTAAAATTCTGTGGTGCCCAATGCAGTAGTCACTAACAATACGCAGCTGCTATGCACTTGAAATGTGTCTAGTGAGACTAAAGAACTACATTTTTAATTTTGATTAATTTTAACTTAAACAGCTACATGTGATTAGTGGCCACCATATTAGCATCTGAGGTCCATAAGAATAAAGACTTGTCTATCTTTATCTTTGCATCCCCAGGACGTAGAACAGTGCTGGTATATAGGAAGTAAAATAAAAACAAAAACAAATAAGCAAAAAAAAAATTGAATGAATAAGTGACTAGAACATTACCTACGAAATCAAGTGACTAGCACTGTCGCAGTCCTAATAATTCAGTTGGTGCTGTCATGCAGATAATTTGCTCTCTCTTTATAAAATGGATTTTCCCATATAACTCCCTTTTGGGGTGAGAATCATGTAAGAACTGTGCGTGATTATACATTAGGAACTATAAAACACAGGAGCATAGTAAGATGTTGTTACTCTTCAGGGAGCGGGGAGATGATGGTAGTGATTGCTCTGGTAGTGCTGGGAGGATAGGGAATAAGACGGAAAACTTTTGATTGCATTTCCTGAGCATGCTATTAAGTGTAAAATTTTCTTACCTTGATTTTCTTCTCCCGTCTGTGGTATGTAGTCTTGGCTCTTTACATCCTCGTGGGAACAAGCAGCACATCTGTTTACATCATGCCTTTTTAACAAGAGTCAATAAGCGACGTATGCCATGCATAGTTATTACATTAGAGTTGTGGTGATTTTATTCAGTGTGTTAAAAGGCTGGGAAACTGCAAGACACCGTCTGTTTATATAAGTATCGGAGCCAGTTTCCTAGGGTTTGAGTCGGGGGATGCTTTTGGCCTCATGTTGGTCACACGTGAGGGACGGCATGGATTTGTGGGAATAGCACAGATGTCGCAAAGGTGGTTTAGCCATTTGGGCCAGGTTGCAAATTGACATCATCTAAATCAGCTGAGACACTGGGCATCTCTCCCATCTATAAAAGCCTTCAGGTACAGTGACTCTCAGCTTCCCTTTGGTTTTCATTGTTGAGAAACGCTTATTATTAAAACAGTTTGAGATGAACTTAAATAAGGTGAAAACACTTGTCCCCAAACAAGAAAATATATATGTATTTATATATCCCCCGACTCAAACCCTAGGAAACTGGCTCCGATACTTATAATTTTTTATTATGTCTGAGACCAGACTCTCTTTTTTCTTTTTCTTTTTAACAAAGGACACGGGAGCATGCAATTTTTTCTCCTATTTAGGACACCTTATAGGCTGTTTCTGGTTTTATTTCTCATCCCTCTAACAGGACTTCTCAAACAGAGGTCCAAGGCAAGCTTGCAGCAGAATCATTTGATCTGCTTATTAATTAAGCACGTAGTTCCCTGCTTCCCAAGTCGACTGAATGTTAGCATCTCCAGATATGGGCTCCCCAAAAACTGAATTTGAAGAACCTCCTTGATTAAAGTTTGAGAGCAGCTGCATTTTTGTTCTTTAGCATTTGACTGTAAGTTCTTTTTCCTTGATTAATAATATTTGGTTAATCAACTTTATGAGCAGTGAACTGATCTCCACATTTTTTCTATAATTAGATTAATATTTATTTATATTGTATAGCCAAACAGATTTATCTCCCTGAATATTGTCTGCTTGGTGGGTTAGCAGCAGCTCAGTTGTAAGTGATTAATAAAAGCAAACTCAGGTCAATGGAACTTAATTATAATCTGTTTTGTGTGTTTGTTTATTTCTGTAAAGTTGTTGTAAAGGCGCCTATCCATTGTTAAAATCTTTTGTCTCCTCTATTATATGGCAAGTCTTTTATTAGCATTCTAATGGTTCTATGATCCATGTGTTTTATTGCCAGTTGTCTCATCCTTTTTGGATGTTGGTGAGATATAATTTGCACATATTGTACTTTAATATAAAATAAAATAAAGCAGATTTTAGGTTATCTGCTTCTTTTTTTGCTCACTTTAGTGGTTTTCTCCATTATGTATAAGATCTAAGAGCTGACTTTTCAAGAGTATTATACTCTGCACACTTTTCTGTTCATGCTTGACAATTTTCCACACAAGCTCAAGTTTAAGAAGTTTCTCCTACTTCTGCAATTATCCCCGAGAAAAGAGGAATTTATTTTATGTTTGGGTCCTAATAATGTTTCTCCTGTTGTGGGTCCTCTCTCACTGTGTTTGAAATAGGAAAGTCCTCTTGGGAGACAATCTATCACCCCAAGTAACTTCCATCAGTGCTGGTTTTGAATACTTAAAAGTATTCCACTCTAGTGAAAAAGAGAGACAAAGAAACTTAATATAGTGTTTGATATCTTCGTAAACAAGCCACTTAAAGATGTCTTGAAAGCAGTAAATGAAGACCATGATTATACAGTTATAAGTTGGAGAAACCAACTTGTTTTGTGATTGAGTACTTGTTAGCATAAGATAAAATATCCAGCAACAGTGTCGTTCAGATATTTTAAAAGTGCTTTATTTCAGACTATTTAGATGTACATGAAGATGGTGAGCTCTGGAAAACTAAAAATTTGGTTCTCATGGCAATGAAGACACTGATGATTAAGTTACATGTGAAGGTTTGAATAAAACTGTTTAATGATGTGTGAGATTTGAAAATAATTTTTGGCTTAATCTATTTTTATGATACATGGTTTAAAGTTTGTATTGAAACTAAATTAATACATTACACATTATAAGTAAACTATTATTTAATCTGCATCTTTAAAAATTAGTATACTCAAGTGGGGTTTAAAAACCTTTTATTTTTGCTTTCTAATTGGAATAACCTTCAGCACATCTTTATATTTGGGGATATAGAGGATTCTGTTTTTCCTTATTTTTCATCTAGATATAAATATCTTGGGAGTAGAGATCACATCTAAGCACAACTCTGATAAAGCTATTACCCCACATTCTGGCGTTGTTCCCTCCCCCTGCAGATTCTTACTAAATTTTGCTAGGGATGATGACAACTGCAGCATTTGTCGTCATCCAAATTTTGTGGTTTTACTCATATAAAACTTCTGACTTGGTGAAAATTTTAAAACATTTTTCTTCCTAATGCTAATGTGCTATACAAAGTAAGAAGTATTTATAGAAATTGAATGCCTATATTTAAAAGTCTCATGTAAAACCTTTTGGTTTCAGTGGGTTCTTCAAGGAGAGAAGGTGTACCTGCCCATGTTAATCTCTCTGCATCGTCCATGCTAATGATAGCAATGCAGTACACAACCAATCCAGGTAAGTGGAAATTTGAAAGACTTGACTAATTCTGAAATCAATAATTAAACAGTACATCAAACAAGCAGGCTAGAAGTTCTCATGTGAGAATTTTTCTGGGTGGAATACACAGCTGGAGATGTGTTAGAAAATAGACTTTTGAATTGAAATAAAATTTCCTTGCCTATGGGTATCAGTAGTGATCTTGCTAGTTAGTGATTTTTTAGACTGTTTGAGGATATGATTTTAGAACATTGACTGGAAATTGATTGAATGGAAGTATATAGAACCAGTTAAATTAGAAATCTAAAAATCACTTACAATTTTAAGAACTAAATAGTAGCCACTGTTAATAGTTTGGTAAACTTGCTACTCTAATGCCACACAAATATCTTTAATATCTTTAAACATAAATCTTTTATTACATTTCTGATTATTTTCTTAGAATAAATTAATAGAAGAGAGATTCGAGAGTTAAAGGGCTTGAGCAATTTTCAGTATTTCCACTAGTACATGCTGAGATTGCGCGTGTTCAGGGTTGTATGGCCGAACACCATCCACTAGTATGTGAAAGTACTTGTATCATTGTGACCTGCCATGGGTGTTACCACAAAATTTGCGTAGAGTTGGACAGATGAAGATGCATATCGTTGTTCTGATCTGTATTTCTTTCACTGCTAGTGATATTCGATGGCTGTTCATGCAGTTTACTGTTTGAGTCCCATTCGTCAGCATAATTGGGAAACTGAGCAAAAATGGGACTGTGAGTCATGTTCTGTGACATGAACTCAGTTTTTATTTTCATTTAATGTTTATTTAGAAAGGGAATGAATTTGGTGGCACAGTTTTTAACCACCTACTTAATTATGTAATAAATACTAATTAAGCTTTTGGCTTAGGAAGAGGAAAAAGTTTTTTGGTTTCTTTGAAATTTCAAAATCTTAATGCTTCTTAGTCTGGAGTGTCATCGTTTGTCTTATGCCAAAACCACCATAAACTGGATGGCTTATCAACTGCAAACATTTATTTTTCACAGTTCTGGAGGTTGGGGAGCCCAAGATCAAGGTGCCAGTAGGTTTGATGTCTGGTGAGGGCTCACTTCCTGGTTCATAAATGACCATCTTCCTGCTGTGTCCTTACAGGGTAGGAAGAAAAGGAAGTTCTCTGCGGCTTCTTTTATAAAGGCACTGATCCCATTCATAAGGACAATCCCTCATGACCTAATTACTTCCTAAAGGCCCCACCTCTGAATGCCATCACATTGAGGGTTAGAATTTAACAAGTGAATTTCGAGGTGACACAAACATTCAGTCTACTGGCTCCTCAACACATATGTTCTCACATGCATAATGTTCATTACACTCCAATAGCCCCTTAAAGTCTTAACTCATTTCAGCATTAGTTCTCAAGTCCAAAGTCTAATGTCACGCAGATATCGTCTAAATCAGCTATGGGTAAGGCTCAAGGTATTAGTCATCCTGAGCCAGTTTCCTCTTCAGCTGTGAGTCTACGAAATCAAGCAGGTAATATGCTTTCAAAAGTACCATGGTGGGACAGGCATAGCATAGACATTATCATCCAAAAGGGAGAAATAGGAAGGAAAAAAGGGGAACCTGGTCCAAGTAAGTCTGAAACCTAACAATGTTAACACTTAAGACGTGAGCAATATCTTATTTATTTAATACTCTGCCTTGCAGGGCCACTGGGGTGGAGGTCTTACCTTTTGACTCCACTGGATCAGAGGTCCCACCTCTGGACATAGTGGAGTGGTGATCTTGCCCCCACAACTTTTCGGTGTAGGATTGGGCCCCCATGGCCCTGCTACTATGGCTTTGGGTAACCCTGCCTCCATGGCTCCACTAGTGGAGTGCAGAACTGGAGACTGCAGTGTGAGGAGGTGCTAGGTAGCATACCCTGAGGTCTCAAAAGTACCTGCAGCTTTTCCTTTGAAACGGTTTTGCCTCTGGATCTGTGATGGAAGAAGCAGCCTGATATTTCTGAATTACCTTTGGGGTCATTGTTCCTTTGTTTTGGACTTGAGCTCCTGGCTTCTGTTGAGGTGGTCTGACTCATCTCCCTATTAGATGGTCGCTTGGTTATACCCTTACTGCTTCATACTTTCAATAGTTAGGCTGAGAATTCCAAATCTTTAAGTTCTATTTTTTCTTTGATGAGCAGTTCTGTCTTTAGATCATTTCTCTCTTCTCATGTTTTACTATGATATAAACAGTCAGAAGATACCAAGCTGCTGCTTCTGTGCTTGGCTGAGATTTCTTCAGCCAAATGTCATGTGTTATCACTTACAAGTTCCACCCTCCACAAAACTCTAGGACATGAACACAATTCATTCAAGTTATTTGTCACCTTATAACAAGGATGGCCTTTCTTCCAGTTTCCAACAGCATGTTTCTCATTTCTGTTGAGGCCACAGTTAGAATTGTCTTTACTGCCCATGTTTCTACAAACCTTCTGTGCTGGAGCTAATACTTAGGTATTAGCTGAGAAAATTGAGACCTTTTCTACAGCTTTCCTCTTTTATTTCTGAGCCCTTACCAGAATTACCTTTGGAGGTCCGTCCATGGCAATGTAGGTTTTTTCCTAACCTGCACCTCAAACTCTTCCATCTTCTATTCATTACCCAGTTCCAAACTGCTTCCACATTTTAGGCATTTGTTATAGCAGCACCCCACTTCTCAGTGCCAATTTTCTAGCAGGCCATTTGGGCAGCTACAACAAAAATAGCCTTGCTGTGTGGCTTATAAACAATGTACATTTATTTTTCACAGTTCTCAAAGCAGGAAGTCCAAAATCAAGGTACTGGTAGATTTAATGGTCTGGTGAGACCCTGCTTCTGGGTTAATGAACGGCTGTCTTCTGGCTGTGTCCTCATATGGTAGAAAAAACAAGAGTTTTCTGGGGCTTCTTTTATAAGGCCACTAATCCCATTTATGAGGACTCTGCCCTTTTGACCTCAGCTCCTCCGAAAGGCCTTCCCTTCTGATACCATCACCTTGAGGGGTTGGGATTTAGCGTATAAATTCTGAGGTGGCATGAACATCCAGTCTTATAGCATACTTCAAGTAAAAAAAATTCCTTGTCATTATGATTGTTATTATTTACTATAGGAATTCAAGTGTATATTTTGGGAGAAGTTATATCTTCTATGTCTGTCTGGCTTAAAAGATCTTCAAAATATCATATTGATTTTATATTATAGATTTAAAAACACCTAATTAACTGGAATCTCATCATGAAACTTCGATTCTGAGTTCTAAGCTGGGTGGGCAGTAAAGCAGGGTGCTTTGAGGTTACAGGGATGTAGATTCACACCTGATGTTACCTGCAGATTTCCAGTTAGTGCAATCTCGAGCAAATTCTCTAACCTTCTTAAGGCCAAGTGTCCTCATCTATAAAATAGAAACAATTCTTTATGAAGTCCATTAAAATGTTGGAGGATTTAGTGAGTTAAGTATATGTAAGGTGCTTACTTAGCATAGTGACAGACATTGTAAATGTTCAATAAATAACAATGCTAATCTCTACAATTTGCCCTTTTTTTTTTCCTTGGAGTTGAATGTTGAGTTGAATCTTTTACTGGAAAGCCACTGTGATCAGATCGAGTTACTTTTGTTATTTCAAAATCTATGTCTTTTGTTCCTTTAGGAATACTTGTAACCAGCTACTCTATACTAGAAATTACTTTTGGGACCCAGAACTTTATTGCAATATGGGAAACGGTTAAGTGAGACAATATCCACCAAGGGTTCTCTGGGACCAAGTGGAAGGGTATCATTTTATTGTTATAATTTTTATTGGGAGAAACAGTGGCAGCTTGGTCCTTCCAGCTGATTATGAATCTAGAACACAGTCCTTGTTCAGGTAACAAGCATTCGTTGAGTACCTTCCATGTACAGGGCTCTATTTTGGGCATTGTGAAAACCACACAGAAATGTAAGATATACTCCTTGCTACAGAGTTTATGTCTAATTGGGAACATCAGGTATATCCACAAAAATAATTAGCTAACAATGGAAAGTACCAAATAAATACTATAGACCATGTTAATTCATCACAAGGAGAGAGCTCTGTGGTTTGAAATAATCAAGAAAGATTTTGTGCCACTTGAGCAAAGGATGGGTGTTAAAATATGGACAGAGTTTTGGCTGACTGGGTAGATGAGACATTCTGGGAGGGGAAGCAGTTTAAACAAAAGGACAGTCCAGGTGTGCTCACAAGACAATCTGTGGACTGCTCTGAACAAGGTTCATATAGCAGACCCCGTAAAAGAAAGCGCATTGGAACATCTGCACTTGAGAACTCAGTAATGGCTTGAGAACAAAATCCAGTTCCATAAGTAGTCACTGAGCATCTACTATGTGCCAGGCACTGGAGGTACCATGGTTAGCAAGACAGAACTGATCCCTGCACTTATCTCAGGTAGTGTATCACGTGGGTTGGGAAGTTGGGGAGAAGACATTAATCCAATAATCATAAAATCGGTGTAAAGTTTCACTTGTGATAAGGGGTTTTTGCTGTGACAGGAGATTTTGCTTTTTTGAGGAGGTCAGGGAGGGCTTCTCTGAGAAAGCAACCTCTGCTCTGGGAAGCAAAAGATGAGTAATGTTAACAAAGCCTACAGCAGGGTGGAGGGTGGTTTGGACAGAGGACTGTATGTCAGGATGGAGCCTGGCAATCAGGTGGGACTGAAGAATCTGTAGCAGGAACTCAGAGTGAGGGTTGCCTGGTGAGAGACGAGACATACGGTTCTTTGAGCCAGAATATGCAGGATGATGGTGGGTTTTGTTAGGGAGTCCTGTGAATCCCAAATCTAATGGGAAGCCACTGAAGAGCTTTGAGGGGAGGTAGGTGTGTCACCTGGTTGCGATTGGGAACAGATTGAAAAGGAGCCAGATTTTGTATAGAGTGACCAATACAGAGGTCACTGCATTTGCCTAGGCATGTCAAAGGCAGGGGCAATTAAAATTAAGAAAAGTATATCTATCTGAGGGCTATTTAGGAAATACAGTTTACAGGACTTGGTGATATAATGGATATGGTTGGCTTCTAAACATGCTGACTGGATGCACAGTGGCTCTATTCACTGACAAAGGAGGCCTTGGAGGAGGATGATCAGGCCTCTGAGGGAAGCAGACCCTACGATCTGTTTTGGGCACGTTGTGTTCAAGTGTCTTTGAGACATCTACGAGATAGTGATTGGGTAGTTGTATTATGGGTCTGGAGCTTCGGACCAGAAGCAATGAACTTTGAGCCTACACACGAGTGTCCAGCGCCCTTCACTGCACTGCGTACAGGTAGACACTGCAGTGTTTGTGAGTGTGAGGTTGCTTTGGGGAGAGCCAAGAATGAAGTGTAGAGTGGGTCTGTGGCCAGGTCTCTAGAAACTCTGACAGGTAACGGCCCAGTGGACGAGGATGAGCTCGCCAGGAGATGTTAGGATGTCTTTGGTTGACTAACAGAGACATGAAACTATAAACACATTTGTTGTGTACTTGACAGGAGATCTTGAAGATAGCCCCACAGTTTCAGGGGTGAGATCTTGGGCTTCTCATGTTTGCAAGAGTGGAGGTTATTGTGTCCTCATATAACCCTATCCAAAATATAGAATCAGTCAGGGTCATTAGCGGAAGGTCTCCTGGTATGCCTCTTTGCTTCTGTCAGAGAGAAAACACGTGCCTCAAAAGCCTCCCAGCATAATCTTTCTTGGATTTTACTGCACAGAACTGAGTAACATGGCCATCTGTAGCTGCAAAGGTGTCTGGGGGAATATCTTGCTTTTGTGGTCTGTCATTTACAGATGGACAAGGAAGAAAGGATCACTGATAGCAGTTGATTAGCAGCAACAGTGTCCACCAGAGGTGATAGGAAAGTTATTTATGACTTGAAGCTCAGGAAAGAGAGCATTTTAAAAAGGAGACAGTGGTCAGCAGTCCTGAATACTGCTGAAAAATCAAGTAAGATGCAGACTGAAAAATGTCCATGGGATTGAATAGCATGCAGGTCATTGGTGAATAAAGTGATCCCTGCTCCAGTGTTATGATAGACTTGCAAAATAGACTAGGGAAGGTATCAAAGGTCATCTAACTAGGATAAAAGTCTCTTTCTTTCCTAGTGAAGATAGGCAAATCAAAGAATCTTCCTGTTGTGTAGCTTTTAAAAATTCCTCTCCAAGATGGAGTTGCTGATCAAATGATAAAATTCCCACTCTAATCCATCAGTCTGTCATTTGCTATCAGTCCAACTATGAGCAAAGCCGGAAACTAAGCCTCAGCCTCCTAACTTGCACAATGGTGGTGGTGAGACAGTACGGGTAAAGCTCTTAGCACAATGCTGGGAACGTAATGGCACTTAATAAATATGAGCTTTTACTATGATACTGTTCAGCTAATTTTTTTTCCTATGTAGTTCTTGATTACATTGATAAAAGTTTATGTTATAGATGTATGATTAGTAGGGACTTCAAAAAATATTTCCTTTGTTAATACAATGCATGAAATACTTATCAAGGATCTTGGAATAAAGCTTGATAAAGTCAAAGGCTTATGTGGTTTTTGAAAAGTATGAATATATGGAGAGAAGTTGTTTCTAATTTAATGATTAGAGTGAAAAGTCGTACTCAAGTAGTTTATTATATTTCAAAGAATGTTTTGTTTGGTATTTACATTTCATGTGCAAATTACATTTTCTTCCATACAGTATATCATTGTCAATTACTGGAATGCCTCATGAAATATAAACAAGAAGTCTGGAAAGTAAGTTTGGGGTCAAATATAACCCATAGTTACAAACTTAATTTTTATAATATGGTGAAATTTGTTTACATATTAAAAACTGTTTAGGTCAAATTCAATGACGTCTTTTTATTTTGACGTGGCAGAACCTATACATTCTTTCTTTACTGTTAATGATTTATTATTTAGAGCAGAAATGATACTTTAAGAACAGAAGTGTCTTGACAGTTAAAGTAATTGGATGTATCTTTGTTGGAATTAAGCCAATATTTTATTGCATGACAAATAATTTTATTTAATTTGAGAGGTTGCTTGAGAATTTGTCTTCTTTCAAATTGAAGATGTGAATTGTTAAGAAGTGTGATTAGGAAAATTTTTTTTAATGCAGTATTTGGCAAACTGGCTTATGCAGTTCTAAAATCTTTCTTTAACATTAATATGGTTAGAGAAGTTGTTAACAGAAAGCACGCTTTAAACTCTGCCTGAGGGCTCATTTGCAAAAGGGCCAGTAAGAAAATAAATCATAAAAACAATGTTTCAGGGCAGTCTAATCCATAAAGTATGCCTGAATAAGATCCCAAAGAAATTACCCGCCTTAATGCCTCCTCCACTGGCGTTTTCGCTGCTTTGTATATTGAATCAGCTGCCTTCATTTCCGTTCAAGGACGTCAAGTCAAAATGTACTTCTGTTTTCCCTAGGATCTTTTGTATGTGATCGCCTATGGGCCTTCACAAGTGAAGCCTCCAGCTGTGCAAATGCTTTTCCACTACTGGCCCAATTTAAAGCCTCCTGGGGCAATAAGCGAGTACAGGGGGTTGCAGTACACAGGTAAGGCCAGGAGAGTGCTGTGTTGCCCATCTTTATTTCTCTGTTCCATATTTGCCTTACCTAAATGTATGTTTCTATCTCACTGGGCTATATTTTCTGTAACTTTAGACGTGGTCATAAATCATTTAAGTGGTTTAAAGATGAATTAATTAAAATCAATTTTAAAAGCATTTGTGACATCAGAGCAAATTGCCCAGGCCCCAGTCCCATTTGCTATACAATTGGCCGGGGGTCTTAACTCTGACTAACCCTAACCATGACACAGGCTTGAGCAGGGAGGGTGATGTGGCAGACATGCTCATTATGTCACAGAAACCCCACTGGCTAATTCTGCTCTGATAAGAAGACTTGCAGCACTTTCAACATCACCAACTCGTGAGCTAAGTAAAAATTGAACTACTCTGATAGCCTGGTTGCTCAGCAAGAGTCAATAACAGGTCAATCTTGGAGTAACTGATAATCAGAAGTACCTGGGCATGGTGGCCTCAACCTCCCGAAGCCTATAATCCCCGTGCTTTGGGAAGCGGAGGTGGGAGGATTATTTGAGGACAGGAGTTTCAGATCAGTCTGGGCAACACAGTGACACCTCCATCTCTAAAAACCGTTAGCTGGCTGTGATGGTAGTACTTGCCTTTAGTCCCAACTGCTCAGGAGGCTGAGGTGGGAGGATTGCTTAGGCCCAGAAATTCAAGGCTGCAGTGAGCTATTATCACGCCACTGCACTCCAGGCTGGCCAATGGAGTGAGATCCTGCTTCTATAATAATAATAATGAGAAGTAAGCATTAACTTTTGGCATAATGACAGATATCTACCAAAAAACCCCTGCAAAACAACAAACAAATAAACCCCAGGTCTTTTTATGTTACAAAACCAAAGAGGAAACCTGGGGCTGCAGAGTTTTTCATGGCCTTGCCTTCCTCCCACCCCAGTTCATTGTAGACACATCAATCAGGAGAGATAGACATTTTTCCAAGCTTAGGTTTTATTCAAGTTATTGTGGGATTGTATACTGATATTCTGAGAATTTACTTATTTGTTGGCATCATTGATCTTTGCAAAGATGATTTGAGGTAATTTCTAAGGGGATGTAACTTAATTCAGGTGTCTGATTTATGTTCCTGAAAGATTCAAAGTCAAGTGTTGGAGATAATAACTGTTGCTTGGGCTTTGATGGCCTTTGGTGGACTTAATGTAAACCCAGAATAAGTGGTAACAACAACATTAATGAAATAATGAAGGTAGATAAAAGTAAATTTTTTAAAATTGGGAATTGGTATTATTGGTGTTTTATATCACTGATAGTAGAGAATGTTGAAGTTTGCTAAGTGAATAATTGACATGTAAAAGCAGTGAAAAGTTTGCAAACATTAATAGAAGAGATGATGTGACTGAATATTTGATATAACCCCTTCTCATTAAATCCCTGAAATAAGCACTTACGTGAAGTATGATTGGGCAATCAGTATCAAATAGAATTTATTTATTTGATAAATATTTTACCAGTAACTACTATGTGCCAGGTACTATACTTGTTAATGATATAGGAACCTACACAAAACCAGACCTTGTGGAGCTTACTATAGTTGAGATATGGAAACTCACTCATTATAATCAACACAAACTTATGGAGTGTCTACTATTAGGTAGGCATTATTCTAGGCACTGGTGGCCAAACAGTGAACGAAGCAGACTCAGATCATTCATGTCTTAGAGCTTGCATTCTAGTTGTGGGGGAAAGACCTGGAAACTGCTATACAGTGTAGTAAGCACTAAGGTAGACCAAACACATAGAGCTGTAGGAACACACAGGAAGCATCTCTAACCTCACCACAATGGCAGGCAGGGTCCTTGAGTGAGTGACATTTAAGCTGATACCTGAAAGATAAATATGCATACTGATGTCAGCCAGGGAGTGCTCTATGAGTGAATAAAATGTGAGTCTGAGGCAGAAGGATCTGCATGGGTGCAGAGTTGGAGGCAAGAGATAGCAGGATTGTATTTAGGAACTGAAAAAAGTCCAGCATAGCCAGGCATTGTGGTGAAAGCGAAGGGTAGTAATAGGACCTGGGTAGGAGTTTGGATTTTATCCTAATGGCAAAGGGAAACCAGGTACAGGTTTTATTTATTTATTTTTTACCTTGTACGTCACATGACTTGATTTTTATTTTAAAGATGTGGGTACAGTTCAGGGTTAGGTATATAAGTGGTCATCATACAGGTGAAGGTAGGTACAGGTTTTAAATAGAGAAGCCACTGGACGAGATTTGCTGTTCAGAGCATCTCAGAAACCCGCAAACTGACAGCTGCTTCCACTTGCCCCTATTGAGTAGCCAGAACTGTCCTCACTGAAGCAGCTCAACCTGCGCCTCCTGAGACAGAGCAGCTCCTTCATTTTCTCTTGGGCTATCTGACCAAGATGTCTCTGCCATCACGCCTGGCTGTTTTTATTATTTTATTTTATTTTTTGTAGAAACGAGGTCTCTCCAGGTTGCCTAGGCTGGTCTCGAACTTCTGGGCTCAGGCAGTTCTTTCGCCTCTGCCTCCCAAACTGCTGGGATTACAGGCATGAACCATCACGCCTGACCTCAAATATTCTTAATGATAAAAATTATATGGAGACAGAATTTTGTGGATTTGGAAGCTCAAAGATGAAATGCTGCTCTCTTAGGAACCAGCAATTTTTATAGTTTTCCCAGTGATTTATAAATAATTTTGTAATAAAAGGAAAATGTGTTTGTAGAAAAATTATAGCAATATATAAGGAGGAAAAAAATATCATCACTCAGAAAAGAACATTGTTAACACTTTGGTGTAGTTCTCCCCTGTTTTTTAATGTACATTTTAAAATAAAATTAAGATATTTTGTATTATTATATGTATATAGTTATACAACCCTTTATTATACAAAATTCCAAGCAAAACATTTTAAAGAATAATACTATGAATATACATAGATTTAATAATTGTTAATAATTCACCATAATTTTAGCTGTATGTATATATATATGTATATGCATATAAATTGCATATTTTTTTAAAACATAGTTAACACAGGAATATTTATAGCTCATATGAAGAAGGTCAAATGATGAAGATTTGGTGACCTGCAATGTTTGCCTCTTTTGGGTTTATTAGTGCATATCAGCAACAACTACTCTATTCTAATGATCATTAAGTATGGGTCTTAAAAATGCAAAAAATTGTAGTCTCAAGTATTTGTGTTACTTCTATGTGTAAACAGGTGATTAAAATTGTATTTCTCTTGTTTAAAAAAAAGATAAAACTATAACTTAAGTTTCTTGACAGTGAAAATAGTCATGTTGTTTCATGTAGTTCTGCTTCTGTGGGGAAGAAAGAAATTATTTAGCAATTTTCTTGTTACAGTGTCCCAACTAGTAAATATTTTAGCCTTTGTTAGCAAAGAATGGCATCAGTTATTGTTCAGCTTCCATCTGAGTTACAGAACAAAAGATGCTGCACAAGATAAACATTTCCAAGATGAAGACTGTGGCAAGAGTAGATAATTCAAGATAGCACCAGGTTACATTTGGGTCTAGGCCACCAAGCACGTAACCATACATTCGTACAACTGGATTCTTGAGTGGTGTAGAAGTCAAGTATGAGAAAGTCTACAAGTCATTTTATGTCATAACTTTCTTTTTATTGTGTTCTTAGTTATCTTATTGTCTTGATGTTGTTGTCACATAATCAAAAAATGTTGTCAAATGTTTTTATTTGGTACATTTTACACAAGCAGAAAAATGCAAATTACAAGCATACATGAAACACCTCCTACCAGATGCTCCCTCCCAAAGATTACCTCTTCCTTCTACAAACCCAGAGGTGAATACTGACCTGACTTCCCCCAGAGATTAGTTTCACCTGTTTCTGAATTTTACAGAAATGGAATCACTGCTTATTTATTTGTGTGTGTGTGTGTGTGTGTGTGTGTGTGTGTGTGTGTGTGAGTGAGAGAGAGATTTGTTCATGGTATTAAGGATAATTGTTCTTGTTCATTTTTATTATTGTACATATTCTACAAAGGAATGTACCATGATTTATCTATCCATCCTACTTTTAATAGGTATTTGGCTATTACAAATAATACTCTTTTGGGCTGTTACAACTAATACTGCTATGAACATCCTTCTCTATGTCTTCCGTTGCCCACATTCATGCATTCCTGTTAGGTCTGTGCCTGTTAGGTATGTGGGGTCAGTTGCTGGGTCGGAGGGCGTGCATGTATCCAACTTAAATGGACAGTGGCAAACAGCATTCCAAAGCAGTTGTCCTCGTTTGTAATTCCCCTAGTGGTATATGACAGTTCTTTTTGCCTCACATTTCACATTTTGGGTGATACTTTTATTAAGTTAGTTTTCAAAATTTTAGCTGTTTTTCAAGGGTGCGTGTATGTCTTCTATTGTGGTTATAATCTGCATTTCCCTGATTACTAATGAAGGTCAAGGTTTTTTCAGATGTTTAATGGCTATTTGGATGTTCCCTTTACAAAATCTTTTTCAGTTATATATGTTGCAAACATCTTTTAAAAATTTTTTTACTCTCAATAATAGGCCACCTGAGACCAGATCCCCACCACTGCACGGTATGTTCATGTAACCGACATGCACGTATACCCCCTGAATCTGAAATGTTAAAGTCTTTGATTAACTGAAGCTCTTATTTGTAATGTAATCAAATTAGCAATCTTTATATTTAGTCCTTTTTATATCCTATCTAAGAGAATCCTTCCGTACCCCAAAATTATTCTGATTTTTTTTGTTATCTTCTGTAGTCTTTTTGTTTGTTTATTTTTACCTTTCAGATGTATCTGAAATTTTTTTGTGTGTGGTATGAAGTAATGGTCAATTTTTTCTTCTCTGAGGAATAGGCATTATCTCAATATCATTTACTGAAAATATTGTTCTTTCCTTACTGCACTGCAGTACTTTTTTTGGTCATAAATCAAGTGTCTATTCAAGTATGGTTCCGGATTCTTTAT